TGCTACCTAGGTCGAGACGAGATTGCTTTTACGAGTCAATAGGCCAAGAGATAGAGGCATTAAAATACAACGGCCTTGTCCGATATTAAATGTAACGGACTCGACAGGGAGTTGCTATTGAGACTTAAATGACGTCACAGGATCACGGTCAGCGTTTGGGCTGAGACCTCGTCGACAGAAAAGGAAAGGAAGGAAAAGACCGGTCGGAAGGTGATATGAGAATGACGTAACTACCCCCCCCCCCCCCTTCCCCCCTTCCCCCCCTTCCCCTTCTTCCCCATTTGCGTTGCGACGGATGTACTATTTTCTCCCTCTTATTCCCCCGAGGCCGTCTGGATGCGGAAGAGCAGACAGCATGAACATTCCCCGACATTCCCCCTCCCCTCGTCCCCATGAGGTCTAATTCCAAGGATTCATATTCTGGTTGGGCTCCCGTACATGCCGACCAGAGTCCGCACGTGTCTTTCCGACTCCATTTTTCATTTTTTCGCTCAAAGACTTCCTTATTCGTACTTCTTTTTCATAACGCATGGAAGGTTTCATCTGAAAGCTGTTGTTTGTCGGTTTTTTGAAAGCAGGAATAATGTGCAAGTGTGTCTACGTCCTCGCATCAACAGGGTTTTGCTTCACGATACTACCCATGAGAAGAAAATCAGGGGCTAAAAAAAAAATCAATTTTGGACGGAGTTGTTACTCCATGATTTCATCTGAGAGAAGGCTGAAAAAAAAGCAATGTCCCTGTTACGCGAAATCGACTAGGTTCGGTGACCGGATCGGGAAAAGGTTTCATCCTCTTGAAAAATTCACCGTCTGGACGTAAAATTCGCGAAAGAGACACAAGGGAGAGGATGAGACGGATTAGCTCCTTTCCATTCATTCTTGCTCTTTCATAGAGTGGGCGGGGGAAAGAGATCTCTCTATTTCGGATAAATATTATGTTTCTCTATTCCGGATAATATTATGTTTCTATATTCGTCACTAGATATATAAAGCTGTAAGAAGCTTTGAAATGAGCGGTAATCCAGGCCTGCCTGTCTTTCTCTCCCATGAGATATTTTCATGCTCCCGGGGGAAGGGGAGTGGGGGGGGGGGGGGGGGGGGGGGTTGGGTTCCTGCAC